AACCTCAGCTGAGTTCAGGACAGCATTTTCAAATTTTACGTTGAGGCCTCAATAGTAAATTATTGGAAACGAAGCGTACATATGGATCGTTTCATGTTGTTGTTGTTATGGAAAAATAGTCCTTTTTTCATTCACTAATGGACCAATTGCTTTTTAATTTTCAATGGTTGAAGATTGTATTTTTCACTAGAAGGCTATTAATTTTATATTTATTCCAATATTTTATATGAATCATATGTATGAGATCTGATATTTCAACCAAACTTCGCTATATTTTTATTTTTCGCTGGAATATGGTTTTTATTCTGCCAAGAGTGACCCGAGGGAGAGTAAAGGCGATAAGACAGCTTATTGAACACATGGCAAATCACGACCTCTCGTCCGGTACTTTGTTTTGGACTCCATGTCCATATATTTAAGCATCTCTCATTCTCTCTCTTGTTTAATATTGGCCTCCAATACATGGTAGTTCACCATAAGATGGCTCACCTCTCACAGTATAAATGTCAAAATTCCTAATCAGCATTGGATAGGATAGGGTTTACATATTTATCCCGGGGGAGAGGAATGACGATAAGACGGCTTAACCATATGGCGAACCACGGCCTCTCGTCCGGTTACCAGTCTATTTCCAGTATGGGATTAGTTAGTTAGTTATTTGTTTTCAGAAGCATGGACTTGATGGTGGAGGAAGCCATAACTGACCAGCGGTTACGTGAACCACCCTACGGCGGCGAAGAGTCCAGTAATACTCTCGCACATAACCATCCCTGCGTGGGATGCGAACCCACGTAGAGTAACCAGAGGTACGGTGGCGAGCGTATTCCTAACGCTTAGCACGATGAGCCACACCTCCGCGCCGAATCATTCAATATTGGCCTTCCATACTGTACACAAGGCAATCTAACCAAAAGCATTAGTTCAAGGTAGACGTCAGGTAATCAATACTTCTGATCAATAATAAATGAGTAGCCGCGAAGATTGTCAATTACTGGATTGAAGGTAGCAAGGTATAGATTTTTTGTCATGGTGTGGTTAGGGAACCTTCAGAAGTGTTATTGAACTGTTACTGGCCAGAATATTCTTATGCTTAAATGAATGTACCTATGCTGTCAAAGCCAGGGGAGGTTGTCAATTACTGGAGTGAAATGTTATCTTGCAAAATATAGATTTTTTGGTTTAGTGTACTTTGTGAAGCTTTCCTTACCTATAGAAGATTTGGCCTGGCCAGAATATTCTTATGCTATTATGAATGTACATGTGCTGTCAAATCCTGGGGAGATTGTCAATTACTGGGGTGAAATTGAAGGTAGCAAAATATAGATTCTATGGTTCAGTGTTTTTGGAAACATTTTCCCACTTCTATTAATATTTGTTAGACCATGACTGGTCGGTATATATTTAAGCTAATGTGCAAATGTCGGTGCTGTCAATGTTCACTTTATTAATTTTCTGTGCAGACTTAGTTGAGGTTGTATTATATTGAATTAGAAAAATATATATTTTTTGGAGAATTCTACTTGTTGAACTGTGAATAGTCGAAATGATCTTATAATAATATGACTGTGCCTCTGCTGTCAAAGTTCGGGAGGATTGTCAATTATTCTTATGAAGTGAAATTCAAGGCAGCAAAATATAATTTTTTTCGGTTTGCTGTTCCCTTATTTTTCCAATAATAATATTTGCTGCACTGTGTTTTCGTTAAAATCTTAGAATTAGAAAAATAGGCTATCAGTCCTAATTATGCCTATATCGAGTATTCAAGCTTCTCCTGTTTCAAACTCATGCGATAAATTGACGTCCTTTTTTGAAAATTAAATTTCATATTTAAAATTCACATTTATACACATTCGGTCAGAATAGTAAATTGGTTTTAGCTATCTTTCCATGGATATTGATAATTTAAGACTTCTGGGACACTTTTGTTAATCTTTACTACAGTGTTTACACTATCTGCCGTTCACCATTAATTAATATTTAATCGATACTGTTTACTACATGATTTATGAGTTGAAATATGAATGTAATATGTGAATTATAATACAGGCAAAACAAGTCAGGAATGACCAAATGAAAACATTTTCATTAGCGAAACCTAGGACCTGTGGTTGTCATAAGGGGGCATAGATAGAGAAGGGTGGGTTATTTGCTTTATCTACTTCGCTTTACGGAAGCCTTATACAGGCAGGCACTTATTTTTAAGACGCTATATTTCGTAAAGATGGATGTGAAAATAAGGTTGGCATGGGATTTGGCCAGGAATATTTAATTTGCGACGATAGCGTAGTAAACTCGATGGTTTCCAACCTTTTTGGTGGGGCAGAACACTCCAATGAAACATTGCAGAGGCTTAAAAAACCCCCTGCACAATAGTTTAATTGCCTTAATTGTTAACTTTAAACATACGGTATATAAAGGAAATCTAATACCGACAAAACAAAATGATCTTTATAGTGTAGAAAGTAAAATTGCAAATTTATAAGTATTTAATTATGGTTGAACAATATACATGCAACAATATAACCTTAGTGGTTCCAAACCTGGGGGTCGCGACTTTTCGGGAGGTCGCAGAACAAAATAATTTTACGTATGACTTTTTTCTATAAAATCTATCCTAATTACCGGTAGGTGTGGAAAAAATTAATTTATTCTTGGGTAGAAAAATGAAAAACAATAGAAACCAATTTTTAAGGTTTTGGGTTGACCAATTCCAGAAGCAAACTTAGGTCTCCCAACCCAACACTCTTACCACCTCCATGACATCTTGATTATTGACAGCACACATTAATTTGACTATGATTCTGTGGCTACCATTTTTTTATTGAATTCCCTCATTGAATTTGTGGTTGCGGCAGGAAATGTTTGTAGATGTGGCAGCTCCGGTATTTTTGGCCAAAACCAAAGGTCTTGAAAATTGGCCTGATAGACAGAAAATACGCTAAAAATACTCATTGAATAGGAATGATAGTGCACTCAAAGGCAGTTATAGAACAAATTAATTTTTAGGATACTCTGATATTAAAATAATTGATAGTATTTGAACTATTTTGCAGAAAACGCATTGAAGCTTAATATCCTTTTTTCCAGGACCTATTAGTTTTAATTTAAATACAGCATGTATTGTGGAAGGGGTCGGGGCATGTTAGAAAATATCCGAAGGGGGTTGCGACGCAAAAAAGGTTCGGAACCACTATTATGGGCTCTTGAATTTGTATGATGTCTAGTGGAGCCCCTGGACTGTACTGGCAGAATCCTAGGGTGTCGCGGAACATCGGTTGAAAACCACTGCTTTATCCACTTTGGATTATATTCATTTCAAGCAATCAACTATTATTTCATTTCTGCTAAACTAAGACATCCTTCCATAAACACACGCTTTCTGAACTGTTCAACAAAATGAAACATGAGACGTGTCGTCATCATGAAGTCATTGGCCCAAAGGAAGACCTTGTCATCAGCGTCAGAAGTACGGTTGCTATAATATCATGATTACCAAAGTGTGATGGGCTGATGGCAATCGTAATCCTAATTATTAGCATCATGCGCGTACCTTCTATCTCTTAGGATTTAAACCAGTGGGGTTAATAAAGAGGAGAAACCGTGCCCCCCACCCTTATTGAAATAGCCAGACCGGCACAGTCATTGCTTTGGGCGTTGTGATCATTTCTCCAGAAACAAGGCGAACCACAGTGCAATGTTTTGTTTGCAGTCACCGGAAAAAGACTCAAGATGTATACTTCGTTCATATCATTCAGGAAGCTTATTAAAGTTTACGGTTGATCTGAATAGACACTTTTTTTTAAATTATGATAACTATTAAAACTAGAAAAAATAGATCCCACAAGGATTAGTGTGTTTCAAATCAATTTATATTCAAATATATGCAAAACTGGTCATATTCGATGGCGATTGGAATTTTGTTATTAAACTAAATGGCCTTTTTGTAAAAAAAACTGTAAAAATAGAGAAACTGTTAAAGACTTTTTCTCATTACCTTATCAAATGATTTGTTAACTGAATCACTGAATTCCTAATAAGGAACTAAATTTGTGAACTGCAGGAATTATATCAAGTTGAAATTTTTTCATTTTTCAAGATAATTTTATTTGAGCTCTGCCACGGTTTGACCAATTAAAAAATTATTGTATAGCAAACCAACTTTCATTTTTATCTTCTGAAAATACAAATGGAGAATTATCAAATCATTCTCAATATTCAACATATGCAAATCGTGTATACGGTAATTTGTTGTTTTTATTTCTCCGGAAAACGACTTATGACGCAATTGGTGTTGATATCACACAGGAAATACTGGTTTTGAGGTTTAGGTATTTGTGGTAAGCATTAGTAACGCCTTGGCTTACTGCATGTCTATATACTCACTCTGCATCGGTTTGCAGGTTTGAATACTGTGGAGGTAAAAACCGTATGTGCAAAAATAATCATCTGCACAATACACTTTGATTTACATACCTGCTTATCAGTTACGGCTTCCTCCATATTAAAGTCAACGCATGTGTAACAAATAGCGATTCCCATAAACCGCCATCCCTTACTTGAGATGGCAATAGGATATGATTTGCTATATGGCCATATCTTTTTCATCATTATTTCTAATCAGGGTAAATATGGAGGTCATGTCTTATGCGAAAAAAGTTTGCATAACTCGTAGAAATCGTATGTTTGTTTCAATATCACCAGTCAGTTACGGCATTCTTCACCATCAAGTTCATGCATCTGAACCGATTAATCTCTTAAATAACCCCATCAGGGGTGTAGCCAGGAGTTTTCAATGGGGGGGGGGGGGGGGGGGGGGGCTGAAATGGAAAAAAAAATACTATGTATGATACAAAAAAAGTGCTTGTTTTTACATTTCAAAAAGGGACCCCCGTAATGCTACTGCCCTGACCCCCATTCGGGACAGTTACTGGTGACTGGGGGTTCAGCACATAATAAAGCAGTCGTACCATCTATGATTATAAAAACTTACCAATTTTTACAGATAATATGGCTTAATTATTAAATATTTAAACTAGTTATCTACAACCGGCGTGTCCCTATTGAATTGGGTCCAGTCCTAACAAGATAGGAATCTTCAATACATAAGGTAGAATTTAATTTTTTATGATTTATACACTGGTTACTCTGAACAAGGCTCTGTACAAGCAGATGCTCTTATGTTAAGAGCCGCTGCAGTTTGGACGGAGTGGAATATTTCAGTTTGACTTTGTCTAGGCAGTGGTTCCCAAACTGGGGATAATTACTCCCGAGATAAGGTATTACCATAGGTCCTTCTAGTTGTCTTGGTTTAAAATTTTTAGATATGTCATTCCTGACGTCCATCTGACTAGGTCATCCAAAAATAGCAACACCACAATGTCACAGTGACGTAATGATGCCTGCCAAAATATAAGGACGCCTGTGCAAATCTCAGACAGTCACCCAAAATTAAGCAAGCTATGTTGTATATAATAAAGTCATAATCTCACTCTTTTCCTCGTTGAAACTATCCCGATCTGGGAGACGCTATTTGGGGCAACTGTAACGATATTTTGGCAAGCTTTGTGACATTGTCAGATAGGAATAAAGCGCGCATAAATGGTTCATGCCATGTCCACTGGAAGTGTGTGTTGCACTGTACTGTATTGGACAAGCATGGGTATCCTGACGCTTTTTGTTTGTTTGACAGAATTTTTCCTCAATTGATTGCAAACAAGGAATAAATAATGGATTCACCAGGAAATGCCAGGGAGGATGCACCAAATCAAGTGAAAACTGTCACCGAACAAGTCTTGAGCCATCCCAAGGGTGTCACAGATCGGAAAAGTGATGTCATTGTCGACAACAATGCCTCAAGTAAAAATGAATATGCCACAGATGGTAATAGTGATGTCACAAATAGAAATGACTACACAATAAAGTTTTCTCGTGGTGCCACAAATCGAAGTGACTATGACCATGGTGAGGCCATGGATAGTACAGATGGTGCCACGGTTCAGACTGTTACTTGTCACTCATGTAAACATAATATTAAGAGAGGAAATACACCCCAAGAAAATTCTTCACCTCAGATCTCTAATTGTAATGGCCAAAGAACTTGCCCAGTAGACCAAACCCAAACGAACAGTAGCTCAAATATTTCAACTGACCTAAGTGTAACGAGTGGCCATAGCAACGCCATTGAAAAAAAAAATCACGATAATGCCTGTGAAGGACATATTTCTGCACAAAAATGCACAGAATGTATTTGCGCTTCTACCATAAAAGATACCACAGATAAATGTGACTGTGTCACGAAAAATGGTATCGGTGTCACAGAATGTGAACACGATGCCGAAGAAAACTCTAGTGACGTCACTGATAATGAGAATAGTATCACAAGCTCAGATGAGATGTTTTGTGATTGCAAAAGTATTATGTCATCACAAAGGTCTTTAAAAGACAACGAAAAAGGGGGAACTACAAACGGGGAGGAAATAAATTCGAAAAAACTCACAAAAAGTGTATCAGACTCTGCTTCAATTTGCACATACCCTACTCAAAGCACTCTGGTAAGTTGAAATTCAATCAGGATTTGATGTTTTCACTCTGAACAGAGCTCTGTACTTGCAGCCAACCCGCAGCCTAATTAATTAATTTGAACCCCCCCCCTTGGTCAATTAACTTTGTAATAATTAGAAATAATGCTTTTAGTATGTCATCATAAGCCGACGAAACCTCTAGATATGTTGAACACAATTAATTTATTATAAAAACTCATTTTAAATCAGTGGTTACTAAACCGCTACCCCCGGCCAATTACTGCGTGCGTTATGATTTAATTTGGCCCCCACCCCTTCCAAGCCAACCCCCCATGGTCAATTTCGGGAACCACTCTTTTAAATTCTCGTGGTTGTCATGGGTTGAATATTTTACATGACAGGATAATCCTTAGCCTATACACTGAAAAAGACAACTTTTTTAACGACTGCATAATCGCATTGACTGTTTTAGAATTCGTTAGATGACAATTTCCAACTCGGTTTTGAGACCCATCCTGGCTGCGCTCTGAAACCTTATCATTTTCTAACTTTAGTTGCAAATACAGCAACAAAATAAGGTTTTCAGGAACAGTATTTTACGCACTATAAGTCAGACTTTAATTTTATTTTGCACCGTAAACAGATTTTTTCATTCAAATTGAATACTTGTTTGTTTTGGACCTTTTTTAGATGATTTTAAATTTTGTTTAAACTGAGTTCATTTCTCTCATGATGTTCCAAGAACATATTAATTGAAGTCCCATACTATGATTGATGTGGTTCCCATCTTCAATTAATGGATTCCTCTGGGTATAAAATTAGGATTGATCAAGATAGTGATTAAGATATTGAGCTGTATGTGTGATGGCAAGGCTAGCTAAATTCAAATATTTTTGCTTTTCCCCCTAGTCTGAAAATGTGAAATATCATATTTGTTCTAAATTGGGCCCCAGTTAGGAGGAAAAGGCGTGGAAAGGCCTAAAAACTAGGATGTAATCATATAATAACAACTTAACATGGCATCCAGAGTTATTGCTGCAACGAGCGGGTGAAATTTCGATTTTTAACGTAACATGAATCGTTGAATTTGCTCAAGGCACTGGCAGAAATGTCTAAAACAAATTCAATCATCTTTGACCTTGGGTTCTCATCCAAATTGAATTTTAAATTTTTCATTTCTTCATGTTAGCAATTCATGAATAATGCAAGGATGTGTATCTTAGCTTTCTCTCATGCCGTAGATGTCACTGAGCATATGCCACGTTGGAATTCTTTGAATTATTAATGCCTTGTGGGGACGTCTAGTGGAATTAGTAATGGGTTTTTAGTGGTGATGCCGCTGCCATAAATCGTGGCAAATTTGTAGCTTTATTATCATGATGCCACAAATAATAATACTGATGCCACTGTTAACAACGAGTCACTTTGCCACACTTTGTTATGGTGATCTCACAAATTATATTTAATAATGCCACCGTTAATAACAATAATGCCACAAACAAAATATCTGGTGCCATTCTTATGTTGCCTTTAATCAGATCATTTGTGCAAGAAAAGAGTTGTCCAATGAATTTTCAGTAGGGGCTTTGGTGTAACCTAAGATACCAATATCTCCTGTGGAGATAGACATTGTTGTGTCACAATGGTGTCGGCAACAGGGGAAACAAATGCTTTTTGTTGCTAGGTTATGCAAGTGAAAACGCGAAAAACTGATAATGCAAAAATTGTGACTTTTGATATCCGCAATGATGATGTTGAAGAATAAGATTTAATAACATTGGCATGCGTTTATCAGTCGAGTTACAGCAAATCTCATGGGATTTGAGGAGACAAACATTAATTAATATTTGACTGAATGTCGAATAACTTGTATGAAACACATTTTGTGAAATTTAAACTCTAGTTAGAGTTTAGAGGGGGGGGGGGGGGCTCTTGGCCACCTAAAAGAAGCACAGACCAATTGAAGGAGGCCCCAATACTAGATGCAAAACTGATTTTGATGCAATTTTGTTTGCATACCTTTCTCTATTTAAGAAAATTCCTCATTCTTCCTAATAAATTTATTTCACAGGGTGTTTTCACTTCCTTATGCTTGAATTGTTTGATCAAAATGAGATTTCAGGTCTACTAATCAAAATATACCTTGCCATGGCGCCGTCAAAAATTGTGACTGGTGTTCTTCTATAAAAGATTACATGTCGTACTACGTTGTTTTCGCCTTCCTGTTCATATATTTGGGCATCTCTCTTTTGTTTTAAGATGTATTCAGAATAGTGAATCAGTAGATTTTGGTCGCTCCAGAAGTATGTGTACCAATTTGGAGGTAACTAATTTTGTTTGCCTACTTTACATCAAGTTGTAAAAAGGGACTGAAGCCTATAGACAGGGGGTGTATTATTATTATGGCCTAACCCTAACCTGGTACACACACTACGACAGTACCTGTCCATTACAACCCCCATATTATACATCCCATACATAGCAAAACCTATTATAATATTCAAGTACCATAAGCACTCAACATCAACTAGAAACCCATAAATAGCAACAAAACTCATAATTTTTATTCAATAGGTATAATGCATAAGCGGAAATTAGATTTGAAAATAGCATTTGCTTCTTATTATATTGATTATTCTCATTGATTTTTAAATGACAGCTGCATGTTATGGTCATAGGTTGTGTAGGAGGAATCAATAATACCTATTCCTGTGATACATTTTAGTGTTTATTGATGTTTTTCTGGGCGCTCCAGAAGTACGTGTACCAATATCGAGTTGACTAATTTTGTTCGCCTACTTAACATCAAGTTGTGTAAAGGGACTGAGATGTAAACAAGAATATCGGTTGGAAACCGAAGACTTATCGATCGAGAGTTAGGGGATCCCCCAAAACAGAAACTGCGGTTTCGATTCATCCGCTCTTGTAACTTGCGCACTGCGCATCGCACACACACACTCGGCGGATCCCAAAATTCTCTCGCTTTACAAAAATCTAGATCACTTGATCACTGATTGATTGATAACTCGCTAATTATACGAGATAATTCATCCAAAATCAATAGGCTTTTGGTTCGACATATGATGAATGCACATGCAAAATCTGGAGCAGATTCAATCTCGCTTTCGTGAGATATCGCGTGCATCTAACAGACAGACAGACAAATACCTATCAACATGTGGTGAGCACAGGAATTTAATGCTGAGATTTTGAATCTGTGATGCTGACACAGTTGGGTCAAAAGTTTATGCTTTAACCACTAAACAAGGATGGCCAAAACCAAATATTTTGGATACACATATTGTCATTTTGCCTACATCTTAAACAACACAAATATAAAAAGTCATTGATTTCTCAGTGTTATTTTTTACCAGTTGAGATATCAAACATTTTGATCTGCTTGTCTAACGATTCAAAATCCTCGATTATTGAATAAAAATGTTCTAAATTATTGCTTCAAATATTTACTATATCGAATCCAATATAATAAATTTTGGGTGCTCCCGAAGTATGTGAACCAAGATGGCGGACACCGGAATGTAGTGTGTGTACCAGGTCAGGTTTAGGCTATAATTTTATTTCAATTTTCTTTATTTTAGTTCTATTACGAGTTCGACGACTAGCCAAGTGACTCCCCTAGTATTTGTACCTGAAATTATGGCCTAATCCTAACCTGGTACACATACTGCGCTCCGGTGGCCGCCATCTTGGTTCCCATACTTCGGGAGTACCGAATTTTGAATATATTCGATTCATTTTGGACATCCACTAAGCCAGGGGTGCACAACCTTTTTGCTTTTGGCAGCCACATTGCATTTATTTGTATTCAATACGGCCTCCAGGGGTTGAAGGCGCGCGAATTTTTGGCTTTTATGACGTGGTGCAGTCTGCCCTATTATGAAGTATGTAGGACTACTTGGAAGTATAATATTCCATTTTAAACGGATTTTTCTTTTTGGTGGACCTAATTCTGAGCAGATATATTGCAGCAAGTTGCATAATGGTTGCACAGTTTGGAAAAAAATCGAAAGTCGGGGAGGGGGCGGGGCGGTCGCCCCCATTTTCTTGTCCCCAAAAGTATAATGAAATGTCAAAGATTTTAATGAATTCATTCTATAAAAGTTTGCAAAGCATTGTAGCAATTTAATGACTTTCTTGGTCTTGCATGTGGGCTGCCGAAACGTGTGATCAATCTGAACCGTGAAGGGAAATCCCCAATGCAAATACACCATCCAGATTGTCCGGCATCGTGTCGTTTGACTTTTTTGCAGTGCTTCTGTTTTGCTTCAATATACGCCAGCATAGCTGCCAAATCCTATATTTTGACTTTTTTGTTCATAGGATTTCGTATGTGGACGGCCGCATTATTTTGTCACGAGGGCCGCAGGTTGTGCACCGTTGCACTAAGCCTTTCATTGAATTTGAGTATAACTTTTGTTCAACTTTCCATTTTTCAGATGGATTTCTGTAGAATATGTCACTGTGAAGGAGACGCAGAGATTGGTCCGTTGATCGCCCCTTGTTATTGTCGTGGGAGTCTACGCTACGTTCATCAGGCTTGTTTACAACAGTGGATCAAGAGCTCAGGTAAAACTGGTTTGCTATTCCTATACTTCACATGGACTGGTAGCTGATTCGCAGGGTCAAATATTGTGGCGATTATTATAGGCTTATCAATGTAGAGTGGTTCACACAACACAGTGGTTTCCAAACCATGGTCCAATTAAGGCAATCATTATTTAATATGGTTCGTCGAACTCAAGTGAATGTTTAACACTTTTTGTTTTATATTCTTGTGTTTTAGTTACCGCCAATTGTTACCTCAATATCACAGTTTAAACGCATGTATATTCGTAACAATTCATTTATACCGCTAGCTTAATTATGTGTACCAGTATTGGACGCTTGCTGCATAAATTCCCTTTACAGTTTCAATTTTGTTATGAAGTCAGTTCTCAATATATCTCAACCAGGTTTCTTGTATTTTAGACAGAAGTTGTTCAAGTATTTTTACTTCATTCAATACATCTGTGAGGGCCAAAACAATTTATGATATCGATAAATTCCCTATGCAGTTTAAAAAAAATAGGAGTTTATGGATACCTAATATTATATTATTCGTTTTAGCCAATGTCATTCAAATATACTTTGCATTTCAGACTCCAGACACTGCGAGCTGTGTGGTTACCAGTTTATAATGGATTTAAAACTGATGCCATTTCGGAAAGTATGTTCATTGTTCGTTTGTCATTATTCACTAGTACAAAAGTAGGTAAAGCTCAAATAGGGGAGGTGGCTTTTCACGCATGAATTCACAAGGTCACAAATATTTGACAAACTCAATTCATAGAGTCACGGATAATTTTTTGGTGAATTGTCAATGTGGTGTAATAACGTCAGTTTTTTTTATTTATAAGATACTTCACCTTTCCACGCACATACTTATTTTTTAATAATAAGGTTATTAATTTAATAACCTTACTCAGGCAAACCATTTTAGTAAAATTAATTTTAATAAGGAGAAACGCTCTGTAATAACATTTAATTACAGAAGCAAATGTCACTCCTTTATGAATGTATAACAGTAAGCCGTAGTTTTGTTTTTTCTGACTATTTCATAGGGTTTAATTATTTTGTATGTGTCCCGGTGAAGGGAAAGCCAATATGATATCTTGTTGCAATCCACGTCTTGTAATATCTAATAAGTACAGAAAGTGCCTCATGGGGGTCACCGGGCAGTTGGGGGGGAGCCACAATGCTAGGCACAAGACTGGAAAATCCTGGAGTATGCGCACCAAGATGTTGCATAACCTGAACCCTAACCTGGTACACAACCTGAGTTCAGGTTGTGCGCCATCCTGGTGCACATACTTCAGGAGGTCCCAAAACTAATTTTACTTTTTCCTCTACAAGAATACTCTTTGTTCTTCCCAGTTTCATAGCTTGATAAGGTTATTTCACAGGGTGTTTTCGTTTTGTTGAGAATGAATTGTTTGAACATAATGGGATTTGGAATATGACAATCAAAATAACACTATAAATGCCACTTAAATGATAAACAGGGGGGCATGAGTGCTGAAAGCCTCCGAAAGGGTGCACAAAGGTTGAAAACCACTGCACTAAGCCATCGTTTTTCATATGCTGCAGCCATCTTGTTGACTTCTTATCTCCGTGATATGAATATCCTATGATTAAGACATCTTATATTTTTTCCTCTCCCCAGACGAAAACTAAATATCTTATCCTCTTCAACAATTCTGTTTTATCACTAACTGACATGATGCGACTCATCATACGATCAAGCCCTCTAATCATTTTTTAACTCCTCCAAAATCTGAAAATCTTTATTTTTTTCTAGTGGAAGAAACTAACAATGTCAACAACAGAGAGAAGGAAGATCATGTTCAGCGTTATGTTCCATGTCATTGCCATAACCTGTGTGATTTGGTCTCTCTATGTATTGATTGAAAGGACGGCCAATGAGATTAAAGTTGGTGAGTGTTTTCATATTGTTTTACTCTGAGCATCTAATAAGTGACATGTAGGTAGCGGCCATTTTTAGACAAATTAGAATCTTTGCTTATTGCTTTTTCATGAGGTGTTTTTCAAATTTTACTCCCAGCTAGGCTTTAGAACTGTACAAGATCGGGATTACGACTTGCGCATAGGCTAAGGATCTATTAAAGATGAAACTAAAATAGTACGATGAATAGTACGGAGGAAATAGAGACTTCAAATATAGACGAAGTAAGGTATTCAACAAATAAGGTTGGTAATCACTGCACTAGGTTATCGTGCTCACTTGGACTTAAGACGAAGCTTTAATAATAACCAACTAGTGGTTAACGTAAACCATCCTGCAAATCATCCACATAATCGTCCCCTATAATAGGGATTCTCAAACTCACATCTACTTTTTGATACAATCTGGCTGGTTTACTTAATAATAATCTATCTTCAATATACTTCAGGAAAACTTCAATGGCCATTCTGGACCAAACTAGTCGTTGTCGCCATTGGCTTCACCGGAGGTCTTGTGTTCATGTACGTACAATGCAAGGTATGTATAAGACAGCTAGCTGGGGGTACACATAACCCAGGGGTGGGTAAATTACCGCTTGTGGTATCGTAATGACCCCTATTGTGTTACATTGTGCTTCTTTTTATTATAAAAACGTTAGCCTAGCTGTTGGACCAGATGTTGTAAATAAAATGTTTTGAGTCGCCGGCCCAGTAACCAAGTCTACTAACTGTAACTGGCCAACTCAGAAAAGTAATTGCCCATCCCTGCTTTACACCAGAAAGGTTGAAAACCACTAGTCTATACCAGGGCTACTCAACTGGCGGACTGCGGTCCGAATCTGGACCTTTCGGGTATTCGATTCCGACAGTGCATAATTCTTTATTTTGAATCATTAGCCCCACTTTTGAAGTTTCCTTTTATAAAATCACATCTATAGATTTGAAAATATATATGAAAAGAACTATAACGCCTAGGAATTGCGTGTTTAATTAAGGATGTCGAAATATAATTTCTGGAAAGTCAGGACCCAAATATTTTTGAAGTTTTGTATGTGGATCTTCCGTAAAAATAGTTGGGCAGCTTTGGTCTATGCCATAGTGAGTGGTTGTGATTAATTTTGATTGATTAGGAAACCATTTTTTGTATTGTTAGTTCATCGATCTTTTCAGCAAACTCGGTGCTCAGCTAAGGCCTTACCAGCGCCGACGTGCTTCCATCGCGCCTCTATATATTTTAAAGGATTGCTCCCTTGTTCTTAACCAACGGCGCCACAGAGCAGTTGGAAGGGGACACAATGCTAGCCGCAGAACTAATTTTAAATTCACTTTACATGAAAACTCCCCTTTCTTCCTAGAATCGTAGTCTCATTGCTGATATTTCACAGGGTGTTTTCACTTTGTTAAGCATAGATTGTTTGACCATAATGAGATTTGGATTCTAACAATCAAAATCTCACTATAAAGATAAACAGGGGGACATGAGGGCTAAAAACCTCCGGAAGGGGCCCATGTCAAGGTTGGGAACCACTGCTTTATACTTTCTCTCCTCTTTTCCAGGTGTATGTTCAACTGTGGAAACGTCTCAAAGCTCACAACAGAGTTATATTTGTAAAGAGTAATTCTCCTGATGAGGCGAATGGTGCGTATTTCAGCTTTTTACGGATCTTTGTTTATAAACAATATATATCAATCGAGAGAATCTGTGGTTATTCGCATCTCTTATAGCTAAATAATTTTGTGTTATGATGTCATAAAACCCCAGAATGATGTCATAAAACCCTAAAACTAGATTCATAGATTTTGGAGTTAAATTTTCTATCATACATATTATGTCAGTCAGAAATAATTAGAAACAACAATTTGATACGAAACCCTTGAATGTCATACACAGAACACTGGCTGAAAATCATTTTATTAGTTTGCAAGTTTTCAACAGAAACACTTTCTCCGGTACCCCCGAAGTATGTGAACCAAGATGACGTCCACCGGAGCGTAGTATGCGTTCCAGGTTAGGCTATAATTTCTGGTACAAATACTACAGGAGTCACTTGACTAGTCTGCAAACTCGTAATAGAACTAAAATAAGGAAAATTGGAATCCCTAACCTGGTACAAATACGATGTTCCGGTGTCTGCCATCTTGGTTCACATACTTCGTGAGCACCCTTTCTCCTGGGATTTGTTTTAATTAAACTTCCATGTTTTTCAGCGGATACCCCATTAGATGATGACGTCTCAGTCCAAAGTTCAAACGAAGTAACCTCACCTCGGCAGCGAGATAATGATGCAGTGATTGTGGAGATTCAACAAAACCAAGTTTAGCGGCCCCACACTGGGTCTTTGCACAAACTTTCATATTGGAAACCAAAACAAGTCCAGGCTCAATGAAGGCTGTTTTCCCTGCGAATAAGTCTACCCGGCAAATAGGACGAAGCCTATTTTTAGCACTGAATAAGAGGGTTTTTCCATATAACCCTCCAATGAGACGGGAAGATAAATTGCTTCTCTGTTGGTCATGTTTGGGGAGACTAAAAATAAGCGACTCCAGCGACTCCCCCCCAAAAAAATAAGGCTAAAAAATTGGGTCCAGAAAAGCGACTTATTAGCCGGAAAATACGGTATTTATTAATGATGCTCACGCCGCATTTCCTCGAAAATGAGATAGTGTCTTGTTCCAATTTTCTTTCAAAAGATAACACTAGGGCTTACTTTTGGGGGGGTGTCTCTTATTTTCATTTACCTCAGGTTACTGAACCTCTTTCTCTCTCACATGTTTTAGATTAGTCATTCAAAACGTGTAGAAGAGATTCCATGCTTATATTGAAATCATTTTTTAAATTCAGGCTAGGTCTTATTTTTGGGAAAACACGGTACTTAGGCCTAGCATGTCTCATACTGGAGACCTGCACTGGTTACCAAGAGGATTTTGCATTACTGATTGCTCTTACTGAGGCACTGCACAAGTTCCGTTCAAAATTCTGAATTAATAGGGAATAGTGGACTCTTACTGCAGCTTCTGCAAGTTACTATTTTAGGTACCGTATTTCTCTGTGTGTAACACGCACCCGTGTATATTACGCAGGGCTCGTTTAGAGTGTGGATTGTATGAAGATACAAGGGTCCATGCATAATACGCACGGCCGAATTCCGTCACTCAAACCGCCTCAAACTCTTATATGGCCACGGCAATCCATTTACAGCTGCTACAAGCTTTTAGAAGATGGTTCAAAACAAGTTGTGCTATAGTACATAGCGTTTCTATGATATGACACTATGATTCATGTTGTGCTAAGGTGCCTCACTTCACCTATAACCTCTTGAATGCTTTTCCCAAGGCTTTAGAAAATGAGATTTTATTTTAAAAAAAAATGGTGCAACGATCTGTGATTTAGTTCTTCGTATTTATAAGTTTTTCGCACTATTATCTGTGGGGCCTTGTATGGTATTGTGCTCCACTATATGTATGTATACCTTAATGAACCCATTTTGTAGTAGTTACCACAAAAGCTTTTGTAAAATGAGTCATTACTTTATGTTTTTACTATTGATAATATTATCCGTGGGGCTTTACGTAACATGGTGCCACACTTTTTATATGGGCATTAGCATTGTCACTATCCTAAAAACATGTCCATTTTTGAATTTCAAAATTAGTTGGTACAAATTTGTCAATTTTGCATTGCAGTTTCACTTTGTTCTATCGATTGTTTTTTCTATGGGACTTCCTACTTATCTCTGCTTTCTTGCTTTTGCTGGGTGATCCACATACATATAATGCAAGGATGCTGTAGCAAGATCTAAGGTACTACAGAAGTATGTGCACCAAGATGGCGGACACAGGAACGTACTATGTGTACCAGGTTAGGTCATAATTTCAGGTACAAATACTTGGAGAGGTTTGGCTAGTCCCCGAACTCATAATAGAACTAAAATAGGGAAAATTGGAATAAAATTATGACCTAACCCTAACCTGGTACATATACTACATTCCAGTGTCCGCCATCTTGGTTCACATACTTCGGGAGCGCAGAATCAAGTCATTCACTGAGTTACGCATTATTTGAGTGACAGTCATTTCATAGAGATGTCTCAAGGTTCATGGTAAACGATGACTTCTTCCATGTTCAAAGACGTTTATAAACTCTCTACAGTAGTTTAGTGGTTTAAAAGTTGGGAGGGGGGGCATGATTGCTAAAACCTTCCAGAAGGGGGCCACGACCCATAAAAAGTTGGGTAGTGTGATGGGTGAATTTATTGGGTGTTATTGGAATTGGGATGAAAAAGTATTTTGGATAATTTAAATAGTGTGTTTTAAAAGAGCAGGAATTTAAAATTCCTTTTTTTTTTGTTCAAGAGAAATGGAATTTTTTTTTTGTTTTGTAAATTTTTTACTTTCATATTGAAATTATGTGTTATATCAAATATACTGCGTAATACTTTTACTATGATTTTACCGTTAAAAAAATTCAGTAAATTATTTTCGCTTGTGAAATCTATTATTCGCGTTCGTTGTCAACTTTTAGACCATGGGGTTCCTAAAGTATATAGGAGCCTTGACCCAATCATGAACCACGCCGAGGTTACTCAAATCTGTTGAAATTTATTTTCGAAAATCAATCGCAACTTAATTATTGCGGCATTTCATATGGCTTGACCTCAAAATAATTGGTTTATTGTGTCATAGTAGTGTGTACTACAACTGGTTGTCTGCGTCTTGTCTATTTCACACAAACCAACACGGAAAACACATTTTCCCGATGTTTGGGTCGCGAGATTTTCATAAAACTCGGACCTATTTAGACTTTTTTGATATAATTTTTATTAATATTCCCATATTTAATATATATTTCTATTATTGAAATAAAATCTTAATTTTCGTCAAATTCAGTGAATTTGCTGCAAAAAACTTATCTGGCATTGAATCTTTGAGAAAAGGAATTCTAGAATGTTTATTTAAATTGATTTCTTGGAAATGTGTGAAGCCAATAATGTTAGACTGTACACAATTTATTCTGAAAAGCATTCTGGGTTAGCTGTCTATTAGGCTTTCCTCTCCCCCTAGATATTTATAAAATTGTTTGCTACCTAAACATGTATTACCGTTTTTTTCTCTTGTTCCCTTTCTGCAGTATTTTTGGTGCTCCTGAAGTATGTGAACCAAGATGGCGGACACCGGAACATAGCATGTGTACCAGGTTGGGCCATAATTTTAGGTACAAATACTACAGGAGCCACTTGGCTAGTCGTCGAACTCGTAATAGAACTTTATGTCCTGACCCTAATATGGTACACATACTATGTTCCGGTGTCCGCCATCTTGGTTCACATACTTCGGGAGTATCGTATTTCTTATATTTATTTCGCTTTTATAAACTGTTGGTAATTTCCTACCAGTGGAAAAGCCACATGGAACATAGGCATGAGCATGTACCTACTGTATATGCACGAAGCCGCTGATATATAAAGGGCTGCTATACCGCTTTGCGGGACCAAAATCTCACCACTTCATCCCCCTAATTGTAAATTTAAAAACCTTCTTTATTTTCTTTCCGTCATGTTTCCATTTTGTATCAGTATTACAAGTACAGTTTCAATGTCCAGTTAGTTTAGAATGTTTTGTTATGAAGGGGAAAATTTGGTGACTCGTTTGAAACATGGGTGAACTGAAAACATATACCGGTACAACTCGCATGAGGACGAATGGTTAAAACTGGATAGGTGGGTGCGCTGTCTCAGTGGAAAGATCTGACATGGGCGAACTATGGCCCGCGGGCCAAATCTGGCCTGTCGGGTAATTCAATCTGGCCCACCTGATGCTGCCAGAACCAAACTAAGGCCGAATTTTGATGTTTTGGCTGAAAAATAACTCAAGGAATTTGTGAGATTGCGATTAAATTTAGTTTATATACGAGATTCATTGTTTTTCACGTTTGCTTTGTAACATTATAAATATTGTTTATAAAATGTAACTTTCCACGTCACACTTACATGGCCCGCCAGTATAGATGGGCAAAATTTTTAAGCCCCTGGTACAAAAAACCCCTGGGTTAGAGCAAAGGCTAGGTATATGGTCCGAAATCACAGTGGCTCCAGCTCCGGAGCTTCGTTTTTGTACAACTGAGCTGTGCTCAGGCTCCATAAACATTCAGGTTTTTAAGTAAGACCTGCACCACGAAATGCCTGCTCAAATGCAGCTTCGTGGTAGCAGGACTCAAACTATCATATAATGGTTTCGAAAGTAAAATTTTAAATATATATAAATTCAATATGAAGCTTTCAAATTAATAATATAAATTGAAATTTATAACGAATTTTCTGTATCATACCTAGCAATTGTTCGTAGCTTGAAACGCTTTTTAGATACTCCAAGCGCATGAAAACCCACGTTTTCCGGCTTTCGGTAGTACCCGCTAGAGGTAAGATCGGGCCCGTGGGTATTAAACCCGACCTGAGCCCGCCTAATTAACTGGATTTGCAGGCCCGACCCGAGCCGGTTATGGTAAAGTATTGGAAGAATATTTTTGGGATTCAAAAGTTGAGGAAAATTCCATTAAAGCTTCTTCTCTGTTTTATTCCTATTATTTATTCCTCTGTTTAGTATCCACACATAGATTTTTTTAAAAACATATTTATTACAAAAAAGTCAGCGATAGAGAAGCCGACCCAAACGTAATGATTGTCATTTCAGGCCCGACCCGAACGTAATGATTAATATTTCAGACCAGAGATCTTAGCTCTAGTACCCGCTGACTGTTACGTTCTAACTTGGCAATCAGAAATTTCAGACCTGTTCCTGTTGGCGTCTCAGGTTACAAATGTCTGGTTCAAGTTCCATGCCCACCACCTCAAATTTGCTCAAAGCAAGGACTAGAGCCCTTAACAAGGGGTGGAAAAGAGTACCGTACTGATAGAAGAGTTGTAAGTTTGCTCAAAGCAAGGTCCCGACTCCCGAGTCCTGTTATGATGTTAGCACACTACACCCGACTTCTTACCACTGTCCTGGAACTTCTCTATACTGAATTATTCTCCTGATTTTACTTCTAGGAAAGCTGAGTTAACTATGTTGCAATCTAACAAAGATAGGCTACTTATACGTTATACATACAACTTAGGCATGTCCGACCCAAAGCGTATATATAATATAATATGGCCCGACCCAAGCATGATCTATGGCTTCTTATACTCGCATATCATTGTATCGTTCGTATATTGTGAAACAAGACGTCTCCTGTTACATCATAATACATTTGTAGAAATCCTATGATGCGTCACAGTACATATGTATACAATTGAAAATTGTCGTCTTTGTTTACGGCGTAAACGACATTACAAAAGAAATGGTTATGACCAACTTGTCGGCTTTTCTCTCCCGGAGATAAAAAAAAATCATTGATATCGATTTTTATTACGGCTATAAACATCTTTCGATTACAGTCAGCCACTTATATCTCACGGTATGTGAGGAGGTGCTACTATTTATTCATTTTAGTCTGATCTCGAAAAATCCTTGTCGCTAGTTGGCACTATTGGTCTCCGACTCCGCGATGGGCTGCCATTTAAAAAATTTAAAAAGTGCGTTGTCATGATACAATGTCATATCTTGTATTATACGTAACGGGGAATCTATTATGGCGTCATATTTTCGTGAGACATATTCTACTGTCATAAACGAATTTTTCAAATAATAACTAATAAGCAAGCATTTTGGTATTAACTTGGATTTAGAAACAATATAAATCTCCTTCATAATACCCGATTTTAGGATGGGGAGACCCGAACATCGAAAATTCATATTTTAACATAAAAACATAGCGTGTGCAAGCCTCCTTTAATAGATAGTTGGAAGCGCTTGGAAAACTTAAAGCTTTCTGGCTTCTTAATGAAAATTTGACTTGTACAATAACCACTGAAATTCTGGAACTTCCATTTTTGACCACGAAGAATTCAGAATTTCAAATCCATCTCACGACTCCGGAAAATTGAAAATACGACTCCGGCACTGACTACAGTAAATTCCCACTCCACAGGTCTGGTTCTAACGAGGGCTGGGCACTTGGAATCGAATAGTAAATTATTCGAATCTTTTCAGAAAAAAAATTCAAAATGTCGTCATTTTTTTGGGCAGCCAAAGTTTGAGATGAATTCCTCAATTTTTTTTATTGAAGCCATATTTTAAAACGCTTTTAAAATTATTTATTTTTGAGTTGCCACGGAGATTTTTATCTTATTTTCGCACCATATTTTACACAAAATAATTTAAGCAAATAAGGTTACGTTTATTGTTTAAAGTTCTTCAATACCTGTTTTGATAACACAAGTTTGGGATATATTTCCATTATTCATGTCAAACTTCGAACCG